ACTTCTGTAGACGTGTGCATTTATCTTTTAAATATTATCAACATCTAGTCAAAATTAACCAATTTATTACTAATCACCTATAAAATATTCTTTCAATATTTTTATATCATTATATTTAATGCAATGTGTATTTTATTGATATTTTTATATCCTCCTATCATTGTGTTTTGTTTTCAAACTGAATTTCAATCCATCATTTACCGTCACTTTGCCCTGTTTGTCGCTTCATCATTCCCTACTTTGCAACATCAAAAACAAGGAACCACCACTAAATTCATGTTCTTCTTCATCTTTTTCTGACAGATGTGTCACTTTAATGCACCAACACTTTTCACTAACTTATCCCTATGTACCTTTCCAAGTCAAGTTATTTCGAATAAAGCTCCAAATCTCTAACAAATTATCTGACATACTATTCAAAAGAAAACTTACTTGATTGTGTATTACTGGCATAGTGGAGTTGACATTTAATACTAACAAATTGTCTAAAAAATCAATAATTGGATAAATATCATTGATTTCTTATTCTAAGCATTATGACTGGTGTGAATTGGGTGATAATAATATGTCAAATGTCATATTATTGATCATTCAAATAAATACAAAGTACATAAATATATGAAAAAATAAACATTTAAATGTGATTAAAGTATTATAAATTTATTTATTTCATTTTTTTTCTTTAAATACTGAGAAAAAATAATTAATTGAACGTATTTGTTTAATGATGACTGCAGAAAAACGAATCTGTCGATATTTTTTTCATAAAGTTGTTATTTTTTTAGTTATAAACAATTTAATTGTTTAAACACGTTTTTTGGCTGAACTATTAAAGATAGAAAAAAATAGTTTGAACAAAAAATGTTCTTTGTTTTAAAAGGAACAACTTTTATTCCAACCATTTTTACTTCATTTTCATTATTTCAACAGTTATCTGTTATTAAATAATTTATATGGAATACACCTCTTATGGCTGGTCTATGAATCATATTATATTGTTCCATTGAATTGATCATTTTTTTTTAAGATCCATGTTGTCTCACTAAGCAAAAATTTTTCCTCAGTGTGTATGCTAGAATATTTTATGTTGATATTCAACACATAATCATTGCTTGCATAGATTTGATTCAAATTATCCTAATAATTAACAGATTGAAAAATGTTTTCCACATATCCCTGAGTATTATTGATTAAATGTTAAAATAAATGGAAATAAATGTTATTTATAAAATTTTTTAAAGTCAATAAATTACACTTAACAGTAGTAAAAAATGCGACAGAGAAACTTGAAAGAAGATACACGTCTAACTGATGGAGTGAGTGTTGACTTGGGATAACGGCCTTCCCATCGGTCAATCAATCAAGTAGACTAGTTTATATAGACTGTATTCTGAATGTAGTAGTATAAAGTTAGTGATTTTATAAATCTACGTATGTGTGTATCGTAAAGTATGTTGGACGATTGTATAATAACGGAATTTAACAACACACTTTACTCACCATGAGGATGCAACACAGCAGATCGATAACTCAAACACTAGTCGATGTATATCTATCGACATCCAAAATACGTTCATTCTCAATGTTTCACGTTTCACTAGTCGGGTTGAAAAGAGACAAAGTAGAAGAAGAGAACGGATTCACCCGTCAGTCATTTGGTGGCAGGCCACGAGAGAATCACAATGCAAAGCCTTCCCGCCTCTCTCGTCCTTCTGCTCGGCGATCTGTCCGTGTAGCTGTCTGTCTAGTGGCCTGTCCATCTCTCACAGTTTCTTCCTCCTCCACTATCACCACCACCGTGCTGCTAGCCTGTCCGTCATTCTTCTTGATCCGCGTGGTCTACCCTCTCGGAGATTCTTGCATCAGAAATTCATTCCATCCTTCATTTTCCATCTCCATCTTTGGACTCATCCTTTTCATTTGACTGACTTGCTATTAGATGGTCTTTTGATGGTGCAGTAGTCGAGATCAGCCAGAGGGGTCTCGAGCTCCGCTGCTACCAGTTATACCATTCGACACAGAGTCTGGTTGCCGTGCGAGTTTTACAAGCGAGTACTTATGTAAAGGGATATCTCGCTTATCTGCATATATCCACAGTTCGTGTGCATGTTTGTCGTGAGCTAAACTAACCAAGAAGAATCGTTACATGTAAGTTTAAAGAAGTTGCTTACAGATAAGACTAATTATTGTTGTGCATTCATCCCCTCCCACATGAGCTTTTAGATTTGTAAAAATAAAATACTAATAATGATGATGATAAAAGTCAACCAAAAGTAGATGAGAGCGAGAAAATATAAGAAAGAAAGAGGAGGAATGGTAAAGTATAAATATATTGCACATTGGCTTTTGCCCACAGTATTCAGAGTCCCTGAGTGAACCGAGGACAGAAGCAAAGGATATCGCGTATAAACGATCTTCTCGAGTGTCAGGACTTGGTCGCCCGGTCGGATACACCACACAGTTTCTTCTTGTTCTTCGTGGTATCTTTTCTTTCGAATACGAGCACCGTGTGCCTTGTTAGTGGCTGCCAATAGGGCCACAATGTCGGGTCGTGCGAATATTTTGCATCATTGATCGCCAAGAGAACCCTATACTACCTGTGTGCGTTTTTTTGTTTATTTATTCTTTTTTCGCCTACCACTTTTACTTAAGTGAATATATATCAGTCTTGTTGACCTTGGTCATCGGTATCGAACATTTTTTATATTCATTATTATTACTAAATTGTACATTTTAAATGAAGATCATTATTATTACTATTTTCCCAATAAAAAAAATAAAGTAGGAAATTGATCAATAGCAAGTATTTGAACAATAGCAAGTGCATTGACAAAAAAATTTCTGCTGTGAAAAAAGAAGTCAATTTCAATCAATAAAAAACATTGGAAATATTTTTAATAAAATAATTGATTAAATTGAACGAAATTTTGCTTAAAAAACGTATTTTGATATTTGATTCAAGATTATGGCAAGTTTAAATGCAAGTGACATTAAATTAACGGATTACTGCTCAATGTTCGATAAATCGGATGCAAGAAAATTGTAAATATTGTGTAGAAATAATTCAGTAATTAAGTATTTTTTAATTCTGAATGAAAGAACATGTTTTTATATATATGCTAACTTTTTACTGATTGGACTTTAAGCCATCATTTGACTCTGAGGCATCATGGATCTTCAAAAAAGTGATCAATCCAATGAAACAGTATGATCTATGAGTCAGCCATAATAGCTATAATCTTTCTATCTTCCGATGAATTATTTTTGAGTAACAATCAGAACTGAATTGATGAAAATGTTATCACGTCAATTCCAAGAAAATATTCTATTGCGACTATTTTGATTTTATTTGTAGTCAATTTTTTCTCAGTTCATATTTCGTAATTATCGGCAAAAATCTTGGATAGTACTATTTCTTAGACTACATACTTTTAAATCCATTATCGTGGGAATAAAAAAGAGAACCATATAAACGTTTAAAAATCAAAGCGAAGATGAAAAAAACAATGTAAGTAACTGAAGAAGAGACTTTACCAGAATAAGCGGGCGGAGCTGTTTCTGCTGGTGGTCCGCCCTATGGTACCTTATTCTATCTAACTCTCACAAACTTTTGCATCCAATCCTCTTCTCGGTTCATCTCCATCGTTCGATGTCCTTTCCGGATTCTCTTCTTCTTGATTCTCGGTTACACGTTGTGTCCTCTTCGTCCTTCTCTTCCCTTACTCTTGGTCCACCTCAGATCTTGGACCAAGAGACAATGAACAATGGGGACATAAATCTGCGTAATTAGTTGCCGATGCTTCGACGGATCAATGTGCGATCTCCTTTTTCTCCCTCTTCCAGTTGAACCGCGAACAAACGATCCTTTGGTTGGCCAGTTGGCAAGGTAGGAGGATGGTGCCACTACGTCCCCACCCGCCACATCTGCTTTCATTCCTTCAGTCTCTTCTTATACACCCTCTGATTTCTTTACTAGAAGCTACAACAACGACACTCCCTTTCTCTTCTTCTTATCTTCCTTTTCTTTTACTGCTTCCTCCTCATCCTCTGTTATTTCTTTCCGAAGAATATGTACTGTCCAAGATGGCGATATACACGTACTTTTACTTTCTCTACGTTGTCTTCGTGTCCGGGTTCAGCTCATTTTATTCTATTTTTTCTTCCCTACAGTCCTTCTTCGCCATCCGCAAACTTATTTGCATCTAGCACCTGTCTGGTGTCTCACCTCCGTCTTGCACGGCGTCGATCCCGACGGCCACTCGTAAATCTTATAGTCTTAAATGTGCGGACGTGATTTGGTGTTCAGTATCTACAAGTTACTACAGTGAATTTGGTTTTCATTTTAAATAATCTGATTTTCATCAAGCACTCTTTTTTTCATAAGTCAATATATTTGATAAGAATACAAATGAAAAGTAACTTTTGATATCTTCAGTAATTTTTTTAAGGTGTACATTGTTATTAGAAGAATGAAAAGGCAAGTACAGAATGGGTAAAATGGAAATGATTTGATTAAAACTCATAATACTCCTAGTGAAGCAACTCTCACTGTATCACAATAGGACACCGTCGTGATCTAGCTGCTGACGTATCTTAGAGTACAACTCGACATTGCCACGTAAAGGCTGATAAATGAACCGATAGAGTCATTGTTACTCGCCATCTGTACCTTTATATCATTTCTGCGTAGACTTGGCCAGGTAGTACTGCAAATGGCTCTTGATACATTTCTCTTACTCTGTACCTTTCACTTTTGATGTCTTGAATTTCCTCTATCCTTTAAATATCTCAGCCCATTATACTTTGTCGAGAAATATTATTGATGTGTTTTAAAAATAATCAAACTAAAAGTATATCATAAGTTCATTATAAATACTTCAAAATATATTATTTATGAAATTGATATTTTTATATCCTAAAAAAAAACTACCATGCAAGATAAAGTAATGTTCAAGTTATAATCAATTAATTTAATGTGTAAATATTCTTTATCATTACAGGGGAAGATGGAATCGAGAGTTCAGGTCCTGGTACAGAACTCCAGGCTGATGAGGGTGAATGTATTGATGAAGATGGTCCGATAAGTCCAAGTGAAAGAAACTGTCCACCTGTAGCTAAAGAAGATGATGAAGCTGATGCAACTGATGATGAGGACTCAACTCCGAGTCCCTCAACACCACCTCCATCAGTATCTTCAAGGTTAAATCCTATCAACGTTCGGGACACAGGACCTCCCGATAGGTATATAACACAAAAATGGATTTTTCTTTTAAATTTATCAACTTATTCAGATTAAAATATATATCATTTTTTATTTGTACGTTATATATCTGTCAGTTTAATAGTCTTTAGTGCTGTATGTAAAATACATAAATAATAAATAATGTGTACCGCCAAGTGCTTTGTAGATTGCGCGTCTACTTTATCCTGAATTTGTTTAATCTCAACAAATCGCGCATGAATTTCTCGTGTACTTGAGTATAAACAAGCTTGATATTATAGCGGTTGCCGCGGCGTCACTCAGCTAATAGAGATAGGCGTGTGTTCACTCTCCGATCAGCTCTGTCGGCAGTTCTGTCACTCTTCCCACCTCAATGACACCCTCGCCACCCGATCCCCACTTGTCCTTCTGATTCTAAAAACTTCCCCTGCATGCGTACCGTTGGTTACCTTTTATTTCATTGCACGCGCATACAACATTTAGTCAGGGGAGTCAGTTACGAGTAAACCGTCGACAGGTTTGGAAGCACGCGCCCTTCAGTCAATAAGTGTTTTATATGTTTATACATTACACACATATTAAATATATATAGATGATGCACGTTCTCACAATTTAGCAGGTATAACTTGATTGCATAATTTTTTTTATCAAGATAATAAAGTAATAGCAAGATGACTAGTATGTTGGACAATGTTGTATGTTTTTAAATGAATAATTATGAATTATTTATTCGCATAGTTTTTTATCATGTTATTGAGATAATTTTGTGATACAAACTCAAATTTTTTATAGAAATGATTGATAAAACTTGGTATGATTTATAAAATTAATAAACTACATCTAAATTTTTATCAATGAAAATATTATTTGACTATAATTTTTATTTGAAAAAACATGTATGTATATATGTGCTAATTTTATATGTTTTAGGGAACCAATGAGTCCTAGTCCTCGTTGTTCTTCTAGAGATTCTCGGGGATCGTCAGGACCGGCAGCTGGAAGTCCTCCACCTCAAGCCAATAGAAGTAGCGCAAGTCCAGTAAGTCCAAGCAATCTTGTACCACTGGCAAATCATCCCCTATTACCTCCTCATTCTGCTGCCGTTATGGCAGCATATATACAGCAAACCCACCAGAGATTGCTACTAGGGCACTCACCTTTATCAGCTCGTGGCTCTGTTTCACCATTGGTCACTTCTTCGTGTTCACCACCTGCAGCGACGCCTGGTATTCTTGTCTCACCAACTAGTGGCGGTGAAGTATCGCCTGCAGCGACTCCATTACCAACAGTTCTTGACTTTAGTACAAGAAAGACTTCATCAGCCGAGGAAGATGAAGACGAGCACATTTTAAATCTGAGTAAACCACCTACGCCATCATCTTCAAGTGAAACAAATAATGGGCCTTTAGATCTCTCGTTATCAAGTCGAAAACGACCGAGTCGTGAAGGTGAATCACCACCGCCCCCTCCAAGAAAATCATCGAGACTTGGATCAAATACACCTGTTGTTCATCAAGAATCCTCAACAACAATTTCATCGTATCCTAGACCACCCGTAGTATCTCCCTGGACATCACCAGTTGTTGCATCACATTTTCCGTACTTTGCAGCAGCAGTTGCAGCGGCTACTAGTCAACAACAACTTTCTCCGAAAAGTACACCAGTTTTAGGTGATCATCATCAATTATGGAATGGTAAAATTAAGCCACCAGCAACGTTAGATAAACCATATCAACCAAGTGAAGCAACAAAGGCTTTAGAAAAAATGAGTGAACTCAGTAAACTTGGAGGAGAAGAACTTTACAGGCCGTCTAGTGGTGTTGGTTCAGGTAATAGTTCTTCTGGAAGTAATCCAAGTGGAGCATCTGGAAGTCGTCATAGTGCTTGGCAATCACATTGGTTAAATAAAGGTGCTGATCAAGCTAAAGATGTACTTAAATGCGTTTGGTGTAAACAAAGTTTTCCTACTCTTGCAGCAATGACGACACATATGAAAGAAGCTAAACATTGTGGTGTTAATATGCCTGTTCCACCACCATCATCGGCTATTCATTCACATTCTTCATCAATTCCTACAATACCTCCATCTCAACAAACTCAACAGCAGCAACATCAATCACAAAATGCTTCAGCTGGAAGTAGCAATAATGGTCATACAACGCCCAGCAGTAAACAAAGTCCATCAGAATTGAATCTTCTTATAAAAGAAACAATGCCACTTCCACGAAAACTCGTACGTGGCCAAGATGTTTGGTTGGGTAAAGGTGCAGAACAAACGAGACAAATTTTAAAATGTATGTGGTGTGGTCAAAGTTTTCGTTCATTAGCAGAAATGACTTCACATATGCAACAAACTCAACATTACACAAATATAATTTCTCAAGAACAAATTATATCATGGAAATCATCAGATGAGGGTAAAAGTAGTAGTGGAGTCCCTAATACTGGTATCGGTAGCACTGGAACAGGTACAAATACTGGAATGCCACCTGGAAGTGGAGGACAACATGGAAATACTGGTGGTCCAGGAGTGGGAAGTGGTACAAGTAGCCATGTTAGTGCAGTACTTACTTGTAAAGTTTGTGATCAAGCATTTAGCTCTTTAAAAGAGTTAAGTAATCACATGGTAAAAAATTCACATTATAAAGAACACATAATGCGTTCTATAACTGAAAGTGGCGGCCGTAGAAGACAAACACGAGAAAAGAGAAAAAAATCATTACCTGTACGTAAACTTTTAGAATTAGAAAGAGCACAAAATGAATTTAAAAATGGTGACACTACTGCTGGATTAGCGCATAGTTTAGTAAAACATGCAGGCAGAATAACTTGTGAAAAATGTGGTGATAAAATAGAAACTAGTGTTTTTGTAGAACATATTCGTCAATGTATCGGTGCAGGCACCGTTGGAATCAATCAACGTAATTTTTTAAAGTCTGCTCTTATGTCTAATAATATGCCACAAGTCCTTCCGTCAACTGAAAGTGGTCGAAAAAGTGTCAATGAGGACACTTCTTCAGTGTCTTCAAGGCATCATCGATCGCCATCTTCAGCAAGTGATACAACAACTCCAGGTAAAGATACACCAACTCCTAGTGCCAATGAATCTACAAGTACTACATCGTCACCTTCTGTACTTAATGCAATTGAAAAATTAATTGAAAAAAGTTTCGATTCACGTGGTCGTCATGGATCTACGAGCTTACATCATGCTCAACCAGGAGCTCCCATGGGTTCTAGTATTCTTAAACGTCTTGGAATTGATGAGAGTGTCGATTATACTAAACCACTTGTAGATCCTCAAACGATGAATTTATTACGAAGTTATCAACAACAGCATTATAATTCTGCAACCGTCGCAGCAAGAAGAGAAAGAAGTGGTAGTGAATCAAGTTCGATATCAGAACGTGGAAGTAACAGAACTGATACAATGACTCCGGAAAGACGATTAGATCTCTCAGTCAGTCATGATCGACTTTCAACTTCTTCGTCATCTCAACGTCATCGTAATTCTCCTGACAAACCAAATCCAACTCCAAGTCGACACTCGATGCCTGAAGAATCCGGTGATGAAGAGTCTATAGTTGTAAAAAAAGAACCACGTGATGATGATGGTGAACCACCTATTAATGAAGATGAACCACCGAAAGACATAATTGTTAAAAAAGAAATTGAAGACTCAAGAGATGAAGATGAATCATCAACTCCTTATAATTGTCATGGACGAAATAATATTCATGAAAGTACTGAAGAAACAGGAGAAGCATCTTCACCTCAAATAAATCCTCCAACACCACGATCTGGTGGTCAAGGAGAACAACAACATCAACAAACAGCTCGAAGTCCTTGTAGAAATAGTACAAGTAGTCCAGCCAGTAGTGATCGTTCAGTAACTCCACGAGGAACTCCTGATACTAAAACAACTAGTAGTCTTGGTGCTCTTTCTTCCATGTTTGACAATTTATCGGGTGGTGGAGGTAGTGGTAATGGTGGTAATAGTGGAATGACTGGTAATGTCGAAAATCAAAATCGGAAAACTAGCAGTCATCCACTTGCAGCTTTACAAAAACTCTGTGACAAGACTGAAACTCGTGGCCCTAGTAGTTCCAGTAGTACAAGATCTTTAAATCCAAGTCAATCATTGGCCGTTGGAGGAAGTGGAAGTTCTTCGGGTTCTAATCAAGGAACAGGACCAACACCAGGAGCTATACTTGCTTTTAGTTGGGCTTGTAATGATGCAGTTGTTACTGCTGATTCAATAATGAAATGTGCATTTTGTGATACACCATTTATTTCGAAAGGTGCTTATAGACATCATTTATCAAAAATGCATTTTGTCAAAGACGGAGTTATTCCTGATCCTCTAACGATCGGTAGATCAGCTGCTGCTGCTGCCGTAGCTTTAGCGGCATCTCAATCAACCTCTACCGGACCATCAAGTCATAATGCATCATCACCACCAAGTTCACAACGCAACAAATCACCACCTGTTCCTCAGGCGAATGGAAGTCCCTCTCAATCAGCAACCTCACCACTCGAGGAAAGTCCACATTCAAAATTTCTCAAGTATACGGAGCTAGCTAAACAATTGTCTAGCAAATACGTATAGTCCGAGTCCCGTAAGTAGCGGTGCCATTTGTATATAAGTGTATGTATAGTATAATGACTGCAAACGAGCAACGTAGTCAAATAGATAGTATCCCTTTATCCTATTAAATTCTTATCGCATTTTAACGCTGATGATCGAAAGATTGACTGAAGATACATCACGTTGAATGGTTGTATTGTTGTTACAACGCGAGTATCATAATTGTTTTAATAATTCAAATGAATCTCTCTTTTGATCATTTACGCGTTATGTGTGTCTGATAATTGTCATTCCTTGTCGACGTATATTAGAATGCGTTCGGCTTAGTATAACGATATTTTCTTCCCCTAAAATGGGATAGACTGGTAGGGTGGCTTTATGCGCTCATCTTCTCTTACGTTCTCCCTCTCTCCCTCTCCTTCTCTCTCTCCATGTAAATTTATTTTGTAATTCACATCATTTTATTCTTTATTGACATTTTTTGTGTAATATAAATTGTCCATCATTTTTATAAAAATTTAAAAATAATTCCTCTTTAATTTAATTGTTTTTCTAATTACACATTGTAACTATTAATTAATTAATATTTGTACTTGTTTTCTGTCTCTAAATTAATCAATCTTTTTGTCATAAAATTATAATCAGTAATTCTTGAATTTTTTTCTTTATCTATGTATAGATAAATATTATTTCTGTATTTATTTTTAAAAAGAATATGTTAAATGTTTAAATTTTTATGTCAATAATGCAAAAAAAGAAGTCTAAGACTCAATAATGACAATGACAAACAGAAGATTTAAAATTCTCGAAATAAATATACGTGCGTGTGCGTGTACGACAAGTATGGAGTGGTTAATTAATTGTGATGTCACCATATCTCGCGGCATTGCTGAGTCACGTGGCTCGGCACGCGGCCAAGTTTGTGATGTTTCTAATAAATACTTAAGCAATTCAATGCCTGACAAAAGTCGACTAGAAGTCAAAAAATGGTCAAATATAAAAATTGATTATTAAAATCTGAAAAAAGGAGAATTAATTAAGATTGATGAAAAAAAAAACAAGAAAAATAATCTAAACATAAAATAGAAGAAGAAAAAAAAAACAATTGATTCGTAAAAAGGCTTATATATCATCTGTCATAAAAATTGACTGTCAGTATGTATACCATTATTAATATAAGAATTTTAGAATATTAAACATAGAATAGATTGGCATTTGCCTACATCAAATGTCTTTATTGAAATCTGTAGGAATAATGTACAAGAAAACTATATTTTATCGCACATAATACACTGAAACAAGAATTGCATAATTGAAATAACATATATTTATTTAATTTTTTAAACCTAAACATTTACATTTATTATATCAGACTAAATGATTAATTTATACATTTATATTTTTTGATATTTTCAATCAAACGAATAAAAAAAAAAACATCTTAATGTCATCAAATGGAAGTGAATTAGGAGAAAAAGAAGCATATAAATAAGAAAATGAAGATTTAAATGAATAAATACAGCAGATAATTAATTTGATAAATTGTAAATAAATTTTTGATTCAGTGTATAATAAAAAAAAAGGGAGAGTTAGATGAGAAAAGATGAGTGCGCCACACGGTGCAATACCGAGATTTATTGTAATAATAGTAGATGTCATCAATTAATTATGTCAATGTAGCGATAATTATACATTATTTTATTGTAATATTTTTGTTTTTAAGTATGATGCACGATAAATGATTTATCGTGGACAGAGACCATTGTACATTTTATTTGTTTAAAGATATATTTATTATTGCGTCAATCGAGAGCCCACTTGTGTCATTACGTGTAAAATATTGTCATTATCATTCGAATTATCGCGATAGTGTGTATATTAAATTGAAAAATTATTATTATACATATAAATTTAATAAAAAATAATGCCGAACAGTGATATTGTATGAAAAAGGGCGTGAATGAATGTGATATATTGAATGAATGAAATTTAGAAACACGATCAATGATGTAGTAATAAAAAAAAACAAAAAAGTATATGGATGCATGATTAAATAATGCTGAATATATTGAAAAGTAGATTATTGTACGGCTCCAATTAATTTCGGAAAAAAATAGACATAAAACACTTGTATACGTATTCCTTGTAAACTCTAATTCTTCCATCGCAAACTTTTAAAGTATTTATCATTATAATAATATTAACATTATTATTGTAATTATATACGACTGCTGAGAGTATAATTAGATGATTGAGACACGAATATTCGTGGTACTGAGATACAGAGTGAGTTTATTGAATTGTATTTAATTCGATAATACATCTAATACTGATGAAAACAAAATTAATGAGAAAAAAAATGAAAATAAATTAAAACAAAATTATTGTAAACTCTAAAATTTTCAAAATAAAAAATAAATATTAAATAAAATTCATGTATGTACACAATTGGATATATGTAAATAAAAATATATATATCTAAGTGTATATGTACAGTATGAAAAAAAAAACATTCACAAAAATATGCATCATGTATACGCAAAACTCTTGAAATCATTTTACCAGATTTGTCATTATTTAATTATTTCGGTTGTATTTTAAAATGCAATTAAAGCTCAAATAAATATATATGTTATAAACTATCAATTATTGTATTATTTTTATCAATTCCTTAATTAACAAAACTTTATCCTTAATTATTATTCTTATTCTTAATTATTGTTTAAGAAATCAGGATGAATAATTGTTTAGTTAATTGGCATAATTTTGGATGATAAGTTTCTTATTATTTGATCAAGATCAATGATTGGCAGAAAAAAATTGCAATTAATCATTACTCAATTACTAAGAAGTTGTTAATCAGCAAATGATCATTCATCCTATAAATTGATAATTTCGAAAAAAAACATTATCAAATGCTGCATTAATTGATAATTCAATTCTGTCTATTTATAATTATTTAGTAATTCAGTAATTAATATTTTTATTTTCCAAATTATCCATTACAAGATTAATTAATAATTTTACCCAATAATACTAAAAAGAAAAAATGGATACAGAACTCTGATTAGACGTTATTTTTTTCATTGAAATCTATCCTGTGATTTTTAGTGAACTTTTCCTTTCAAAATATTTCCATTTGTTGCACTATTTTACAATATCATCGTCGTCTCTTCACAAAATTATTACTTTCATTGTCATTAAATATTTCAAAACCAATTTTTAGTCCATGTATTGAAAAAAAAGATATGCTCAATTTTACCAAAAAAACTTACCGAATTTATTACAATAAATATAATGTCATCTTTTTATATGACTTTGGAAATATTTGAACAGTGTAGTAGTCGATATCCGGATTATCAGAGGAACGCCTACGCTTTATTTCCTTCTTTTTCAAATACCAAATCGGATTATAATGTGAATTTCATTCAGTTACTCGGTCATTTCATCATACTTACGTATGTTAGTATTTGGTATGAGTTTGAATAAATAATCAGAAGTGTCATGTATAATAAAAAAAGAGAAATTCAATATTACAATTTATTATTAAATAATGCATAAACATTATACAATGTAAAAACAATCTTAATTCTTGATAACGAAATGACAGATAATCAAATTCAGATAATTTTTAGATGAATTCATGGAAATTTTTTTTAAAGTGAATATGAATTGAAAAGTAATGATGAAAGCTAAAAGCTTTGTGGTAGGTGTAGAAGGACGGTCAAATTACTGGCTAAAGTTGAGTAGAAGTTATAAACCAGTGCAGGTATTCTTATTTTTCTCTTCCAGCTCCTCCGTATTTTTCATTATCTATGTATATATATATATATATTGTTTTAGTTTATCTTTTTCTCTTTCTTCTTTTTCTTGTCCTTATTCTTTGTCTTGACTTTTCTCGCACGATGAGAGTGCGAGTTAGTGAGGTGTGGAGCGTGTACAGGTACGGCAAACTGCAGCAAAAGTCGAGTCGTTCAACGATGAAGGGGAGAAGAAAGAGGAGGAACAAGTCGAGTCGAAGACCGAAGCACTGCAGAAACCGGTCGTATCTCTTGAGTCCTCTTCATGAAAGATACGCTGCATGCCGCAGATACGTGAATACTTTTATTTTAACCGTAATGCGCTAATGAATTGATACAGCATGCTACAGAGTATAGGCGTCTTCTTCGTTTACTTTATTCTCTGTATCCTTTCTTCCCTTTGGTTGCTGTGCTCATAGTCGCCTCTTGGGATACAGTCGTGCTTCTGCCGACGTGCTCGTAAATTCCATCGCCAAGTCAAAGCCGCACAAAATTCAAACCAGTGGCAATGAGACAGCCACTCGTCGTTTGCAGAATATCGCCCATTAAGGGAAAATTCTCTCGGACAATCCAACACTCGAAGACCCTAAACGATATGCCCCTCAACTCATTCTTTACAGAAAATACCTGCTTATGCTACTAGATTTATACAGTTTAAATATTCCATTTTCTCTCTTGCATTGAATAAAATAATATCCTGAATCAAAATATAACATCTACATTTACTCTGTTTATTTCCATCAACCTTTTCAACTTAATATTGCTTTGTTTTATTTTTCAAGCAGATCAAAATTAGAATGAAATGGAAAGTAAAGCCGAATTTCAGCCTTTTGATTCTTTAGTAGATTGTTAATCGAGGGAGAAAAGTATGATATTCTGACCTGGGTATAAAATTGCATCCCAAGTCGAAGGTGAAGCCGGCAAACAACCAGGTGAGAATATTTTACTTTTCTCCCGTGGCCCACATGCTATTTTTTATCATATCATCGTCCAAAACTGAAGTTTGTCGTTTGTTTTGAGGTTGGAAAAGTGACGTTTTCTTTCTCACAGAGTCTGAGCATGCGCACAGACGGTTTTTGATTAAAAATATAAATTAATTTGTTATTATTGAAATATATATTAATTAACTGAATAATAAAACGAATTAATTATGCTTACAAAATCAATCAACTTTATTTTAAATTTAAATAAATATTTTAAAACCAATAAAACAAAATATTGAAATGTACTGGTGTATCTTATCGACATGAGAATCCTCGGAGCACAAGTGTTTCCAAGACTAAAACACTATTTCAATACTCAAAAGCAAGGTATAAAGTTTACATCAGAACTAAAGAGAGAGAATTCAGTATTGCCTGGTAGGTTGGTAATGAATTCGTCTAATGGGTCGTAAAGAATACGATCTTATGGAGCAGAGGGAAGAAAATAAAACAGCTACCGATTCATCCCAGACCCTTAAAGTTTAAACCAAGCTCAGTCTCTGAAAGAAAAAAAACTTATTTGTAATTTCGTTCAATATTCAAACCCTTGAACGACTTTTTTATATAATTATTTCCTAACTCACTATGTGTACCCCGAAATATCATATAAATTCCCATATTAACTTAATAATTCTCTGGCAATCGATTGCTTTATTTTATCTTATTTCAATACCTCTTGTTTCTTTGTCCAACCATTTTGATACTTTTCTTTCCACTTTCACAGTCTCTCTTCTCTCGTAAGTATTTCAGTAGTTTTGGACCAATCTCAATGTTTTTGTTGTTTATGTGTACCAACTAAGAACCATGTGATCCTTAGTTATTATCTACACCAACATTGACTCTTCTTTTATCCATCTCTTATTCTTTTCTTCATTTACTTTTATATCCTGCGATCCACGATATACACTCAACTGCCTTTTGCTACTCTCCCCCGCGCATTATTCCACCGACAGTTATATAGACGGTTTCGAGAATGGACCTCGAAGAAACTCCAAGGCATTAGAGAGTCACCAAAAACTCCGAGATCCACAGATAGCTAAGATTTGTGGCGGTCGTGTCTACTGTCGATAACTGCCCGCTTCTGCTTCTATCCTCACTACTATAGTCGTTCTTTACTGTCTTGATGGGTTGAGTTCGGCGATGACATCGAAGTTTAATCTTTCCCTACCCATAGTTTTCAATAGTTGATGATTGAATTTTGTGTCATATAGTCATGTCGATTTTATGAATCTAAAAAAAACAACAATTTCATTTCATTATTTTTGCTGATTTTTTTTTTTTTAATACGAAAAGAGTATTCCAAAATAATATTGATTCCTCTTATCGTGATTGTTAACAAATATATAAATTTATTCTAGATAAGCTGAAACTTAAGTCAGAGATAAAGATGTTGCTTGCTTGAAACAATGAGTGGGCGAACCAACTGTAGTTATGAGTTTCCATTCGAATACATATTCATTATTTGTATAAAATATTAATTTTCACTTGACATCTTTTTGCATTAAATGTTATAATTATTCTTATGATATACAGTAGCGAGCAAAAGTATTTCGACGAACATATTAATGACGTTAATTAAAAATAATCAAGAAACAAAAATTGATGTTATTTTTTTTTTTAAATATCCCATGTTTTGATGCTTTTAAAAAATTACAGCCAAACTGCTCTTCACTGAATTAAAAAAAATTTTGGATGCAGTTTTATTTTAAAGAAAATTATAACGAATTATTTTTGCGAAAATATTTTTAAGTGCTACTGTAATTAAATTATTGAAAATAATGAAGAACTCAGGCAAGAATTTTACAACTTAATGTATGATGTTATAAATGAGTTGTGGTCAGGAAAATTGAGGTTATATTAGTTTAAATATAATCCATTTTATCAATGATGATAATTTAGAGATAAATATTTTGCAGTCATTTTACAAATAATGTAAAAGAAACTGATAAATAATGTGATTACTTTGTTTTTTCTTTCTAGATTGACAAACAAATTTCAAGTAATTATGATTTGCTAAAACAAATCTAATGAAATTAATAGTAAATGTTATACTTATCCTTCATTTGCAACGGTTTATACACAACTTTAATGCAGTATATTTTATTTATGATAATTCTAAATGTAATATCTCTAATGTTTTTCAGCAGATTATTTTTTACAACGAAACTGAGATAAAAAACATAAAAATGATCAACAAAGAAACGTATTGTGTGTATTTTTTTTTTTAAGAATAACTGAATGACTCTAAGTTAGCATACAGGTGTCAAGCTAATGTTTTATCAACACACCGGAATCATTAGGTCAGACCTTGTCTAGAGATAGAAAATTACAAGAATAGTCTGTTCTAAAACTAATATACTATAATATGATAAAATAACACTCATTCTTTGTTAAATAAAATGAATTGAAATAAATGAAAAGTATTATTAATTAAGTTTCATTGAAATGTTCAACTGATTATTAAATTCCTTTGGTTACTAGTAAAAGTTTCAGTGTCTCCAGCAAATTCAAATGATTAACATTGTTCGACATACTATAATGATTAGAAGTTTAAATAGTTGAATAAAAGTCCTTTTAATGAAAAAAGCTGGTTTTTATCTTAAATAATTTGACCAAAATATGATAACATTTCAATGTAACCCCAAGTCCTGATCACGACTCGGTCAATTTTTGAAACACCTAGCCTGGTATGGCACTTGTAAAGGAGTCCATTCAGGCCTGGAAGAGAAAAAAAGGATCAAGGTCATTTGGTGATTATT